CAGTAATGTCTTCCCAGCTTGAGATCAGCTCCGGCTGTTTTATTCATTTCTTCTGGCAAAATCAGGCTGAATCTATTTTAGATCGCGCTGAAAGCACTACAGTCAGTTGGACGGACGTCTCAGCTTTTGATTGACGCCTAGTTTGGCCAATAGGAGGGCTTTGGGGGTGAGTGACAGCCTGAAGAGCCAATGGAGTGTCTCGTACAGTAAACCCGGTACGCACAAGTCCCACCCTTGTAGATTCGACCAGTCGGGTTGCAGATACATTCTGACACTGTAAACTTGTAGCCAATGAGCAGACGAACACGTGGATGTGTCGGAAGGCAGGATTGTGTGTGTGTGTGTGTGTGACGGTATCGGATCGGCCAGTTACCACTGAAGTAAATCATCCGATACCGTAATTTCGCCCAGTATCGGCCCGATACCCAGTATCTGATCGGCGCATCTCTAATATACATACATATATATATATATATATATATATATACACACACACACACTTTTTTAATAAAGTGTCTGACTTTCGATAAGCAGCAGAGAAACGGTATGTATCCATATCTGGATATGACAGTCTTGGCATCCTCATTCTTGCATGGAATCACTTCTACCCATTTACCCATTACCAGGCATAATCTGTATCCTTTTACCCTTTCGTCTGCTTTATAAAGTGTGTTGTTGCCCTATATGGTGATTTGGAGGCGTTTCTGAAGGCAACATGCACAAGCACGGTGGTTAAGAAGTGGGATTTATCAACACTGCTGACTTACTGATGTGTGTACAACCCTTGTATGCACGTTTGATAAATACAGATTTTTTTTTTGTACTTATGCATACTAAATTTCATGCTTTTTGTTCCCCCATATTGGTGAAAGGTGAAACATGTGGTGCAGCAATATAATGTATCTGCTGACAGGTGTGTACATGGTGTAATAAAGAAAAAACTCACATCTTCAGGACAGTGTTGAAGCTAAAACATTTACTGATGTGATTATTCACTGAAAAGAGGCCAATTTTGCAATCTTGATGGAAATAAACTGCAATTGAAATGTTTTATTTTCATAGGCTACACAAACAAAGGATAAAAAGGACAAAGTAATAAGAGAATCTTTAACGTGTTAAGTAGTGGCATGTAATCCCCTAGCTTACAGAAATGGTGTAACTCTGGTGCTCAGCTGCCAACAGGAACTTATGACTCGTCCAGTTTAAACCGTAGACTTAATAAGTGGACAAATGGCTCATAACTGATTGTACTTGTCAGGCTAGACCATATGCTGTTTAACATGCTATGATCATGCAAACTCTTGATTTGCAGTAGTGACATGTGGAGCAGTTTGGCCAGGCAGTGCAAAAACATTATCTTTGTCTTTTCTCTGAAGGTGTTTCTGATCTGCACACTGTTTGTCTATTGACTATTTGGTTTAAACTTGCACTGCATATTGGCTCCAAGTGCAGCGACCCTGTGGAATCACATATGACCCAATTGTCAGTGTACAAAGTTAAGACATTACAGGAAAAAACACGTGAGAACGATCGTTTTTGTGAGGGAAAACAAATTCTAAACAAGCCTCCCCCAAATCAGTGTTTGCATTTACTACTTTCATAAATGAAGCAGTGTGACAACAAGAGTTGGATGCACAATAAATACAACCAACAACTTGCTATGATACAAAACCAACAATATTCAGCTCTCTACAAGCAACAAGTAAAAACTGCTGATCTACTGTGCAGTCCAGGAGGTCATACCAACAGAACGCTGAGAGGGGGAAACAAATTACCAAACAAGTATGTTTAAGCAGAGTAATTGATCATTCATGTTGTTAGTCATTTGATTGGTGGATATTTCATCTTGCCATCATCCTCTACTTGAAACTCCGGACATTTGGACTCGTACTACACTAGAGTACAGAGGTAGATAGAAAATCATAAAAGCTAAAATAACAATCACTGATAATGATGAAAGCAACGTCTCGTACAACTGAATAAACTAAACAAGTCAAATGTAAAAGCCTTCATTCATAGTGTTATAGCAATGCAAAGCAGGTAAACACAGGAACAACACAGTATATGATATATTCACTTTAAGACTGGGAAGCAGTGAAGAACTGCAGCCAGGACACTCAAGCATGCTCTCCTGTGTTCTCATTACTCCGATGGTGCTTCCTTTTGTGCCAGCCTTTAGATCAGGCACCTGGAATTCATTCAAAATGCAATTATCTAAAAAGCTCATGTAGGTTAATGAAAGATGCACTGTTTATTTAACATGTAAACAGCATCAATGCCTTCTTCAGTTTGTTATTCACGGAAAGACCTTCATAGAGGCTTGCATATGTAATGCCCCCTAGTGGCAAGAAGCAATGTCTAATGTATGACACTGATTTAGCAATGCTTTGCGAATAATTCAGAGTAAGAATGCATAGTGTTTAGACAACTGGATTCATATTGTGTGGGATAAGTGACAGATCAAGTAGTTTGTATAAGAAAGCTACGAGTAGAGGCTGGCATTGTTGAACCACTCAGTGATTACAACAGTTTTCTAGTTTGTAGAAAAATGACTATTCCAGTCAACTGTTTAGTCTGTTCATGTGGTGACGAGTCATTTGCAGTTTTCCTTGGCTGGATGGCGATGAAAGTCCCTCTTCCCACCCGTCTTACTGACCAATTTTATGTCCATGATGACGATGTCATGGGTCACTGCCTTGCACATGTCATAGACGGTGAGTGCTGCTACGGAAACGGCCGTCAAAGCCTCCATCTCAACTCCTGTCCTGCCTGTAGTGCGACACGTTGCTGTGATGACGGCAGCCTTCTGCAGCTCGTCGAGGCAAAAAGAGACTGAGGTGTGGTCTAAGGGGAGCGGGTGGCAGAGCGGGATGAGGGCTGAGGTCTGCTTTGACGCCATGATGCCGGCCAGTTGCGCCACTGTCAAGGCGTCGCCCTTGGCAAGCTGGTTGTCCTGAAGCAACGGGAACGCGACTGGGCCCAAGATGACAGTGGCACAGGCTGTGGCTGTTCGACACGTGGGAGCTTTCCCCCCAACGTCCACCATGGTGGCTCGGCCCTGGTGGTCTGTATGGGTCAGCTGGACTTTGCTGGTTTCATCTGACCTGGTCTCATCACTCACACGCTGTCTGGGTTTGACGCCGGAGTCTTTGCTGGAACTTTGACTGTGGGACAGTCTAACACTGTGGTGATTGAGATTCATTTTGGCATTTGTTGGTAGTGTGCAAAAAACATGTGGTCCTGGGGTCCTGAGTAAGAGGCTCTTCGGAGCATTCGGACCCCTGGCTTGTGCGTACCTGAGACAGTCGTCATTAATGTAATGTATGACACTTGTGCGTTTCGTAGAACTTGCAGTGTTATTGTGACAACTGGTGAAAATGAACTCTGAGGAGCGAAGAGGCGCTACATTGTGAAGATTAGGTTTTTCTTTGTTGATATGTGTTTTACCACAGCTACTCCCACTTATTAAGGTTCTACGGCAGCAAACATGGGCAGCTTTTGTTGAAGCAGTGCAGTCTGGAAGGCACAAAACACCCTCTCTGGTCAGGACTCCCTTGCTGCCTAAATGGCACACGTGAGGAGCTGCTTTTAGAGAAAGGAGTGTCTCATTTTGAAGCTGGGAAACAATAGGGAAAGCCCTCTGGCCGTCTTCTGGCTGTGGCTGAAACCTTTGGGATGTGGTGCCTGTTGGGGGGGACAAAAAAGACATTTATATTAAAAGCATTATTTGCATTCAGGTTTGTTATTCATTGTCAGCATGAACATGAAACGCATTAGTGTACTACACCCCATGATGAACATCAATAAAATCACAAGTAAACAATGACAGAACAAACTTGGTGTGAGAGACTTGTACGTACAGCCATGTCACCCACCAATGAGGATCATAGGCCTGTTCTTCATCTGGGAGATACTGAACATGCCTGAGGTGAGAAAAAGAAACGGATTGCATTAGAGTAGAAGTTCAAACACAATAGTCTGAGTATACCCCATAAAATGTGTTGTATATGCATTTCTACCTGCATGTTGTTTCTTCTTCCTGCCCACAGCAGCTCCAATGATTTGCAGTAGCTCTTCATCAGATGCTCCAGAGCGCAACACATCTCTGAGGGAGACCTCGGAGTTACCAAACAAACACACCTGAGACCAAACAGGCAGAGAGTTTAAGTCAAAAACGATTGAGTGGTTCCAAATCCAAGAAAGTATGAGATCATTTATAGTTAATGTTAGTCTATTGGTCCAAACACGCATGCATACACACACGGTGCACAATACTATACAATAGGGAAAAACACTGATCTAATAACAGCTGTAGCTTTACCTTGAGGTTGCCATCTGCAGTGATGCGTAAACGGTTGCAGGAGCCACAGAAATGGTCAGACATGGAGGTGATAAAGCCCACCTGACCCTTGAAGCCTGGCACTTTAAATGTCTGTTACAAAACAGAGTGTCAAAGAGGTTTTTAAAACGGCTTCAGGCTTTAAAACCACAGAAAAAAATACTTCATCCTGATTTTTCAGAACAATCAGGATTCTGGAAAAAAAAAAAAAACATCTTTGCTAGCGCTCCTGTTCCTGACAGGCCGAACTGTACTTGAGAAATGAGGTACAGCTGGAGACATTAACCTTTGCAGTGTCTGTGGGTCCAGCTTGGAGGACTTCCAGGTTGGGCCACTGCTGCTTGATGCAGTCCAACATCTCCTGGTAACTCACCATCTTCTTAAAGTTCCATTTGTTACCTGCAGAGAGGAGGCAGTGTGGTTCAGGACACAGTGCAGCATTTTACATCAACAATTTAGAAAACCAGTCACAAGCAATGACATCTGTATCTGCAGCTCATCAGTACTTAACAGACCACACAATGGAAAGAGAAAGAAAAGGCTGCATAAAACCAAGCTGTACTGTGTGACCAAAACAATACTGTACTATTGAGGAAGTGTAACACTGTTTGGTGTTACTAAAGCAGCCTATCTGAACACTGGATGTGTAAAACATTTTGCTGCAGCATTTTACATTCCTCTGAAAGTCTAGACAGTGTAAATGATGAAACCTTTCAGACCTGTGCAGTAAGATATCGGACGACATGAGCACTCACCGTCGAAGGGCATGTATTCAATGAAGCGCACCTCCAGAGGCTTCTTCTCTGTCAGCGCCACAAAATCTAACAGCTCATCCTCGTTGAGGCCTCGCATGACTACACAGTTGATCTGCAGGGGGCAGCACAAAACAATAGGTCACCCATTACTGAGCTGTACAATCATTCTCCTTACAAACCTGTTGCGTAACTGCAAATATGTCAAGATTCACGGCCACACATGAGGTAGACATTTTAGCAACTACACAGGTATCTTACTACAGATGTATTGGCCAGTATATAAGTATGAGTTCCTGGAAGACTGTGCTGAAATCACCTGACAGATGAAGGGTGATAGTTAAGTAATTCTGACTGAGGAGTGTAACTCCTCTACAGTAGTGTTGCTTTAGTAGTTTTATTGCTAGAACACTGATAAAGAATTTCAAAGGTTAAAGCACCATTAATCTTATATCTTCCACATTCGATCGACACCAGCCTTTCATTTGCATTGTCTTGACACATTTGCTGCACATACAGTTGGAAAATGATGTTTCTTCACCTTTTCTTATCAAATGTGCCTGTAGCCACTCTGGCTTCTGAACAAAGGGAGTGTAAACAGCACTTTACAGTCAGTGATATCAAGTTAACCAGCTTAATATCTAACCAAACTAAGGTGTCACTCTGTGGCAGTGAGAACACTTTCTGGTGTGGTTAATAGATGTTTGCATTCAGGACCTTCTGACCTCATCCAACCACACTTTTCCTAAAGATCTCAGAAGAACCACACAAGGTTAACCTCTGTAAATGTTAACTTGTGAGTTAGTTTCTTTAATGTTTCTAATGCACTCTGCAATGGACTTAGACCCAGTTTCTTCAAGTCATTACTATGAAGTGCTGGTCACTAATGTTTCATTATAAACAATCAGTGCTGCTGATTGTTTAGTTCTACTTGATTTTAGCACAGCTTTTGATACTATTAATCCAGCAATTTGGTTAGATT